CTCGCCTGTCCCGGCGCCGCGTCCAGCTCCTGCGGTGGTTTGTGCGGGCACCCTGGTGGCTGTGCGAGCTCCCTGTGCCGCAGCTGCAAGCTGAAGGTCTTCACTTGCTTAACATGGGTAACGCCTACGAGGTGTAAAACCAGTAGCAACGTGGGGCTGTGGGAGGCACAGGAGAAGTGAGAAGGGTCAGACTTGAACTTCAGAGGGAGTCAGAAACACAAACGCCTTGCAGAGAAAAAGCCCGCCTAAAGAGTCCAGGCTAGTGAAATGTGTGAGAAAGCAGATGTTTGACACTGTTCCTGGATCTACTGAGAACTTCATAGTGTAAGAAAACATGAGAAGTATTTCCAAAAGTACTCGGGCTAGAAGTTAATATGTGACTGGTTGTGGGTTTGTGAGAGAAGCGGGACAGTAGTCTGCAAGTAGCTTTCTCTTTCTGAACCATTTGCTTTATGTTTAAGTCTTATTTTAATTGAGGAGAAGGAAGAACTCATTTCAAAGGGGTTATAAAAAGGTAGAAGGGGTGTGTTGAATAGGAGTGAGATTGCTTCCTCCTGATAGATCAGGCAAATGTAGGACCTTATTTAAAAAAAAAAAAAATCATACATTTGGAGTAGGGTTGGAGAACACAGCTGGAAGGAGCGCTGTGGGATGGACTACTGAACCTGCCTTCCTTGCCTAAGGGCTGCATCGGTGCTCCTTCTGTTGTTACTGACGGATGTGTGTCTGTCCTGGTTTTAAAAAATCTCTGATAATGGAGGTTCTGCAACCTTGTTAGGTAAAGCGAGTCACTGTCTTACTGTCAGAAAACTTTTCTTACCATCAAACCTCTATCTTTGAAGCTCCAAATAAAGCTTGGTCTTACTGTTCATATCTGACACAAAGATCAGATTATTCTCTTTCTGCTGGCAGCTGTCCTGTACATGTGTGAACTCTGTACCTTTCTTAGATTTCCACAGGCTGGTCAGTCCACAGACCTCCAGTTAACCTTCGTAAGTCCCAATTGCTGCACCTCTTTGTTCTCTTTGCTCAGTTCTGAGCACCCTGGTTTGCTCATGGCTTGTAGAACACGGTGCCCAGCACTGGACACAGAGGTTTGGCTCAGGTGTGTTGGTGCTAAGAGATTGCCTTGTACATCTGCCAAGAAACGCTCTCGCTTACATGTCTCAGTGTGAAGTTGGGATTCTCTGCCTCCCACTGCAGCCGTATTTATTGATATTATTGATCATGTTTCATCTTAAGCCACTGTACTATTCAGATTCCTTTCTGTGTTTTAGTTCTGACCTGAATGTTATCCTTTCAGATTTGTCAAGATCTTTTGAAAACTCAATTCAGCCCTCCAGTAGGCTTGCTGGCCTTTCCAATTTGATGTCTTATTTAGATTTAAAAAGAGGATTGATCTATACAACAGATGAAAGATTGAAAGCAGTGAATTGTGTGGGGCTTTGGTCAGGCCTGTTCCAGCCCTTTCAGTTGCGTCCTTGCAGTCTGACAATCACTGTTCTTCAGACTGAGCCCGCCAAATAACTGTGAACCCGTCTTTCAATTACGTCATTTAAATGATATTTCCGTAGCTGTTTGTAGAAATGTTCCAGGACAGTGTCAGGAGTCCAGCTAAAGCTGTAAAATGTAACATCTTCTCTTAGCCATGAGACCTGTTGCATTGGCATGAAGAAGGTTTGGATGTTTTGACGTTGTGGTTTAACCTGGCAGGCAGCTAAACACCACACAGCCGTTTGCTCACTCCCCCACAGTGGGATGGGGAGAGAATTAAAAAAAAAAAAAATCGTAAAACCTGTAGGTTGAGATAAAGGCAATTTAACAGGACAGAAAAGGAGGGAATAATAATAATGATGATAAAAGAATATATAAACCAAGTGATGCACAGTGCAATTGCTCACTACCTGCTTGACCCATGCCCAGCCAATTCCTGAGCAGTGCCTGCCACCCCTCGGCCAACTTCCCCCTGGATTTATTTGGCATGATGTTGTATGGTATGAAGTGGGTCAGCTGTCCTGGCTGTGTCCCCTCCCAGCTTCTTATGCACCCTCTGCCTCCTCACTGGCAGGGCAGTATGACGAGCTGAAAAGTCCTTGACTTTGTGTAAGCATTGCTTAGCAACAACTGAAACATCAGCATTATCGACATTATTCTCATCCTAAATCCAAAACACAGCACTATACCAGCTACTAGGAAGAAAATTAACTCTAACCCAGCTGAAACCAGGACAGATGTGATCTTCTTTATGCTCCTTGGGGCAGTGGGAAGTGACTTGCTAGAAAGCAGTCAGCAAACTAGTGATGGAGCTGGAAGTAAGTCGCAGATTCTCTGAGTTCCTGTCTGATATGTTTTCCTCTAAGAAGGATCATCTTTTATAAACAGTGTACCTTTTCAGTTACAAATTCTGAACTATTTTATGTCATGTTTAATACAAATTTGGATCTGATATTTGAATTTTAATACTGATTATTTTAAACCAGCATTCCAGAGACAGCCTTCTTTCCAGTTCTGTTGGTTTTGAACTAAATAACATGCTCACTTTTGAAACAGAGAGTCTAAAACTGACTCTGGTCTTGTTTTGCAGCTGGAATTATCTCTCTTCTGGATGAGGAAGAGCCACAGCTCAAGGTAAGCTCTTACATCTGGGAGCAAATAGCAGCAAATGCATTATGTTGAGAGCATTAAATCAGAAATGAGTGCCTCTCCATAATTAATGGTTGGACAGCAACAGGTGGACTCCAAATTGTATCTAGCCTGAAAGCTGAAAGGAAGGGCTTAAATAACATGGTAACAGGTGACAAACTTCCTCGTTTTGAACATGGATCAAACTGGAGCTTCACATGCGAAGATCTTTACTCACTGAAGCTCCCAGCTCTCTGTTGATAATGGGACTTTGTTACTTAAAAGCGTTCCAGAGACTGCATTTTGACTATGTACAATTCAAAGCTGAAGAATATCTCAAGATTTTTAGCATCGTTTAAGCACTCTAAAACAAAATCACAGTTACAGTTTTCACTTGGAAGAAAAAAATCACAATAGTAGTAGGAGAAGAAAACAGGAACAGAAACTTTACAGTCCACAGAGCATATGAGTCCATGGGACAACACCAAACACTCGAAGTGGTGGTGTACTGGTGACACTTGCTAGTTACTTGAACAGTTAACATAGCCCTTTTTATGAGAAGGAGATGCATCCTGTAATATTGGTAATCCCCTGAATGTTTTGCTTGGAAGCAGACATAGGTGGTGATAAATCTGAATAAACCCTGCTTTTCCTTTGAACTGGTTACAAGTGAGCTGGTTCTGGTCTGGGTGTTGTTCATCTGCTAAAGTGCTGTGTCCAAATAAATAAGGAGAGCTGGCTTGCATAGACCACAGGCCAAAGAGTTCGATGTGCTACACAAAGGTTGCCACAAAGACTTGGAAAGCTTTGTGTTTTAAGGAATTTCACCTCTCAGTCATTTTAGCCAGTCATTCCTCACAGAGGGGCGAGAAGGAACATCAGGGTTGTCTTAACTGTTAAGCGAACAGCCCTTCATTTGCAAAGGACTTGAAAAGATTAGTGAATGCTTGTGAAGATCTTTTACAGTTTGCTGTTGAAATGAGTCAGTGTTTACGATATCAGTCTTAGGCAATACTTCATTTTTACTGGGGAAAGATAATGAATTTTTTTGTAATAACTTTTTATTATTTTTTGTAGGAGTTTGCTCTTCACAAGTTGAATGCTGTTGTCAATGACTTCTGGGCAGAAATCTCCGAGTCAGTGGACAAAATGTAAGAGAAGGCGCTTTTTTTACTTCAGGGTGTGGTGCTTGAAAAGAACATGAGATACGAAGTAGATGTAGTTCTGGTTGCTTGATACTGGCTAGTACAGCATCTAGCTCCATGTTTTCCAGAAAGCACCAGTATAAGTCCATGTGAGGTTGGAGCTGTAGTCCCAAACATGCAAGTTCAGTCAAGCTGTCCTGTGGCGTTAAGGAGAACTGAGCACACAGACCTGATGCTCTTCTCTCTCTTCTTTGCAGTGAAGTTCTCTATGAGGATGAGGGCTTTCGGAGCCGGCAGTTTGCTGCTTTGGTTGCTTCTAAAGTTTTTTACCACCTGGGAGCTTTTGAGGAATCACTGAACTATGCCCTGGGAGCAGGTGACCTCTTCAATGTCAACGACAACTCGGAATATGTGGAGACGATCATTGGTAAACGACTGTTGCTGCAAAAGAAAAGCTCTTGTCAAAACTGCTGTAACTTTGAGATTTTACTAGATTTAGCTGCTTTTCTCCATATTCGTCTTCCTCTCCTTGTGTTCATTTAAACTGATGCTGCAGCTGTTTTTACCCATTTTATTTTTGCTTTGTTTTCCCTGCTTTGGGATTCTGTAGTGGAACTACAGATTTAGGAGTTCTGTCAATTTTTTCCTATTTTAACCATTATTCCATTGCGAATTTGTAATAGCAGAATCGCTTTGGTTGTTTATTGTCCCTTCTCTCATTTGTGTGCTAATGTTATTGCTGATGTCCGCATAACTTTTAAAATAATCAGCTAGTGAGTGTAGCTGTAACCTAACTGAGGCCTGCCGTTTTTTTCTCCACCTTTAACAAGATGAGAAATCAGATGTTGAATGCATGTATACTTTGAATGTCTTTTAAAAGTCTCATCTGCTAATATCACTTACCCTGTACAGGATATGATGGACCAGGGCTGGCTTTCCGTTTCCCCGACCAGTGCTAACAGTGGAGCTAGGAAGTCTCCTGCTCCTACTTCCTCATTTATTTAAAATATCATGCCACTTAAACAAAGATCATGTCATTGGTTCCATTTTAGAAATACCTGCTTGGTTTCAGCGCTAAAATCGGAGGGTTTTAGAAGAGGATATAAGTATCTTCCACTGCTATCTGTATATGACTACACGAATAGTTCTCATGCCTCACCTTTGTGTAGTTTCCCATGTGCTGTATTTGCTGGTAGAACGTGTGTATGAACATACTGGTCTCTTCATCTGTAAAAAAACTGCAAACATCTAGGAAGCTGACTTTTTTCCCCCCCTTATATTTATTCAATATCTTTTCAGCAAAATGTATTGACCACTATACCAAGCAGTGTGTGGAGAATGCGGAGCTGCCAGAAGGAGAGAAGAAACCTGTTGATGAAAGGCTAGAAGGCATAGTGAACAAAATGTTCCAGCGGTGCTTGGATGACCACAAGTACAAGCAGGCCATCGGCATTGCTCTAGAGACACGCAGGCTGGACATCTTTGAGAAAACCATCCTCGAATCGGTATGTGCAAGAGACAGGAGATGCATGTAGCTAGTCTCTTCCAGGTGTGGATCCAGAAGTGAAGTGAAAGATCCATGTTGCTATGGAACGTGCCCTGCTTTGCATGAAAAGAGTAAAAGATGAAACACAGGGGATTGAGTTTATGCAGTTTCTGCCAAGGTGGAGTGAGTGTGCGTGTGTTTGGTTCAACATGTTCACAGAAGGCAGAGCCACTCAGGGCTATCAAGCATGGAGAGACTCCTACCTTTAAGAAATCCCTGACCTTCAAGTTGCTGGGGGAATATTCACAGGAAACCTGACCGTGTGTCCTCGTCTTCAGGTATTCCTTGTCAGCTGCTAGCAGAGCTGTGTTACTGGACTAGGCAGACCTTAGGTCTGGTGTAACGTAAGAACAGCTCTTTTGTTTTGTTGTGCCTGTCATCTGCTGTGTAATTCACTGCGGGAAGGGATCAGTAGGGTTAGGTAAGTGATTTATTTATGGTAGTTAAAACAAACTAAAAAAAATGCAGTAGTTGGGTGAGCTGCTCTAAATTTCAGTAAGTGGCTCTGTGCCACTTAGTCTCAGCTGTCCCTGCCTGCAAGGCAGTACAGTCTGGTTTTCGCATCTTTCACTGAGGATTTAAAGTGAGTCGTGGTACCTGGTCGTGGTGATCAGAGAAACGTGCCTGTAGTCGTTTGCAGCAGCTCAGTGGAGGTGTGTAATCTTGTTAGGCTGCAGTATCTCAGTCATGCCAGAACACATGGTTTAAATCCTTTAAATTTTACCACATCTCAGTTTACAGCTTTCCCGTATTTTTGGATGTCTCCCATTTCTGTATATGGGAGGGGGATACTCATAAGGCATCTGTCTTACTCTCTCTGTTTGCTGTCCTATGCATTTACTAGCTTTATTGCCCCTTATAAGTCCATCATTTCAAATTAGCTTTCTGAAGTCTAGTAACCAAATCTGTTTCTCAGTCTCTAGCAAGAAACAGGAGGATCTTTGTCTTGAGGATCTTTTCTTGATGCGTGGCTTCTTTTGCTGACATTTTATGTTACGGCAGTGAATTTCACTGCAACCAAGGATGATTATTCAAACAAGAAAGGTGAAGAAGGGGAAATAGATATTGGACTTGTAAATTAGTCTTTTGCATGTTTTAACTACTGAGTTTAATATATTAGTCCTGTATATTTTTGGTAGTACTTTTTCTTTACTCTGCAATACACCTGCGTATAAGCTTTTCTGAAATGGGAAAGGAAGCTGTGAATGTTTATATGTGCACATCTTTTACTCTACTTTTTAAAATGGAAAGGAGGTAGCTTTATTTTAATTCCTAAATCCTGCTTGTCAGTCTAAACTCAGACTTGATATCCTTGAATTTAATTTCAGAACGATGTTCCTGGGATGCTAGCCTACAGCTTGAAGCTCTGTATGTCTTTGATGCAGAACAAACAGTTCCGTAATAAAGTCTTGAGAGTTCTAGTTAAAATCTACATGAATCTGGAGAAACCAGACTTCATCAACGTATGCCAGGTAAACCTCTCAGAGTGCTGTTTAAAGATCAATCAAAAGTTCTTCTTTAGAAGTACTTGACTTGACATCTGCCTGATCTCTGTTTTTTATTCAGTTAAATGAAATCTCTTTTCCTGGTTATGTGCTTCAAATATATATCAAAGTGAGATGAAAAAGAGATGCAAGTATTGCACATTTGATCAATTTATAGAGAAACAAACGCATTCAAAGGCAGTTTGGGGGCATAGGCAACTCTGACAGAATATTTCAGGCCTATGTAGGGAGTATCAGATGGTAGGTTCACAGCTTGGAGTTTTATTTATTCCTCGAAAGAACGTTTACAGTGCCTTGGTTTTTGGTAAGCCGTTGTCTGAATGCATTTGAACAACCAGTTACTGAGATCTTCTCAGGCCTTTGCTGATTTTCGTATGCCATGTACGTGTGACTCAGGAGTGTTGTGCCTGTTCCATTTTAGCTGAGACATCCCTACAAAATGATTGATACTTCTTTAATGTGCTTTTGAAATTTCTGTGTTTAGTAGGACACTATTGTCAGCTTCCAAAGATAAAAATGCAGAAATAGGAAGGCTTGAATGTTGTGTCTCGAATTTGTAATAGTTGATCTCATTTTTAAAATGACCTATGAAAATTCTTCAAAGATTTATTATCCTCTATGAGAGAGTTTTTCTTTCTTTGAAGAGTGTTCTGTAGATGCAGCAGATAAGGGAATGAGGAAAATGGAATGTGGCCTTAGGTAGTGCTGCTGTTTCATTCCGAAATATATAATGTCTTCGCCTAATTATTTTTTTCCTATTCTTCCCTTCCTCCCGCTCAGTGCCTGATATTCCTGGATGACCCACAGGCTGTGAGCGACATCTTGGAAAAACTGGTGAAGGAAGATAACCTTCTCATGGCCTACCAAATTTGCTTTGATCTATACGAAAGTGCTAGCCAACAGTTCTTGTCTTCTGTGATACAGAACCTCCGCACGGTTGGCACTCCCATTGCCTCTGTGCCTGGATCCACCAACACTGGCACCGTCCCTGGATTGGAGAAAGACAGGTGGGGAGACTGGCTTGAGAAGAGACGTAATTGTTCAGTTACAGTCCTGCTCTGATGGAGCCTCCTGTTCTGTGCCCGTTAGAAACAATTGAGTTACTCCCCTTACTTTAAGTCAGGGTAATTATTTGCTCAGGGCAAAAATTGTGTATTACCAGAATCCACTAATGCATTTTCCTTTGCAGTTGAAGTAACCATGGTACAGTTACTGTGGCTCAGCTAATGAGCAGTATTTCATTAAGGCATAGTGAGAGTTGCTCAGGAACACTCTGATGTGTAGTCTTTGCAGCAACTGGTAGAGCTAAGGAAGAGGAGAGTTCGGGCAAAAAGCTCATCACAGCTATGTGCGAGCTTGGTTTCACACTGGGCTTGTAGTCTCCTACCTGCTTGTGGGGAGAGTGAGCTCAGACAATACCGTAGTCTTATAGTCCTTTTTGTACTTGCAGTTAAAAAGAGTCAGTTCAAATCTAGTCTGAGTTTTGTTAAAGTTCTAACATTTAAAACTTGTTCAGTGGTCAACATCACTGGATCTTAGCTGGAGGAAGCCTCTGGTTAAGAAAACCATTCTATCTTCTTTATTTTTAATTTTGATGGCTTGCAGGTAATTGACATAGATAACTTTGCTTTAAACCTCTGTTTTTAGAGGGTTGGCCAATCCTCTAAGGCTGCTGCCCAGCTCAGTGGCAGTGTGCAACAAGTTTGTGCTCCAGCTGCTCTTTAATCACCAGAGCTATCATGTCTGTACACAACCTGATCCCTGCACCATCTTTGAAGTGTGGTGGGGAATGCTACCTAGATTTAACTCAGGCTGGTTAAATGTAGGGGCTTATGCAGCTGTGAGGAACTGGGTCTAAATGCTTTTGAATTAGTGATATAGGCATACCCAGCATTCTCCTCTCTTCTTTTCCGGTGAAATAAAAGGAAAGGCACAGAATAATTTATAAGTCAGGCGGTGAAGCATTAGGACAAGGTGCTAATAACAGCTTAATAGCTTTTGGTTCCATTTCCATGCTCTAGCATCATTCCTAATAGTGATGAGCTCAGGGCTTCTGGGTGAGGATATAATTATCCTTGTTGCCTAGTTGTTGACCTTGTTTTCTCGCCTGGCTCTGCCTATTCATTCTCTACAAGCATATCTCTTTTTTTTTTTTTTTTTTTTTTTTTTCCCCTATGTCTCTGGATGGAGTGAGGGAGGAGTTTTCCAGGCCTTTGTCTTCAAGTTCCCTGAAAATTGAATTAGGGAGGAGTTTGCTTCTCAGCAGTGACCTCCAGATAGACAGCCCTGGTTCTGTCAAAAGTCCTGTTTCCAGTCATCATCATCTCTAAATCCCAGACTATTCTTTCAGGGCAGTGTTAGCTGTAATTACAGCGCTTGGCTAGTTACGAGTGATGATCTGAGCTGCATTTTTTATTTTATTTCAGTGATGCTATGGAAGCAGAAGAGAAACCAGGAAGCACTTGTGCAGGGAAGTCTGCAGAAATCGTGAGTACCATCTCCAAAATATGCCTTGCTGAGTTTTTCTTATGTGTTCTCTTTGAACTTCTGGCGGTGTTAGATTGATGTGGCTGACAGTCTGGAAGTCCCGCAGTTCAGATAACGAAAACTGGAGGAGATTGGGAAGTGGGTAGATTTCATCAGGAATTACTGAGCCCAGAAAAAAGGGAAAGCCAGAAGGATCTGGCTCATGCATTTGCTTTTTTTGATGTTGAAATAATTAACTCATTCCACAAGAAAGATCTTGAAATTTGACTGCTGCTGATGAATTAGCTTCATGTGTTTTTTTTTTTCCTTCATCTTCTGAAATCCAACCGAACCTTCGTTGATGCATTAGCTTGATTTTTTTTTTTTTTTTTTTTTTTCCTTTCTGAAATCTGACTGTAGTTCTGGTTGGATAGAACTGATGCTGTTCTGCAGGAATGGCAGAAGGACATGCTGACATAACATAGTTTGTTTTCTATGAAGAAGGATGGTGTTGCCTCTGGCTAGGATGGTAGCTATGTTGCTGGGCCAGCCAGTTAGACTTTTGTTTAGTTTCTTTTCCCAAGTATGGGACAAAGTGATTTCACTTCTAACATGCACGTACAGTTGCGTTTCAGCCTGCAGAATAGCTAATGCAGTTCTGACACTTCTAATGCTGAGGAAAGGAGATGCTACTGGAGAGGAAAGAAAAAAAACACCTTGTCTCGGATTTTTCTTTTTCCCCATGGTGCATGTTTGTGAACTAGACTTGGGAATCTTTGAGAGATTCTTGCAAATCAATGAAAAAGGACAATGTTTTAATTAATTAAGGGCAAACAGAAGTGCTTTCTTGAAATTATATTCCATGAGGAAAAGAAAAGGGCTGGAGTTTCTTGCCACATCAATGAACCTGTAAACAGTGGTTTTGTGGAGAAAAGGTGTCTTGAATCAATTTCTGCTGCATTGGCATTGCTGATTGTGCCAAGGGACAAGTACATAAATACGATCTTCGTCGCCAGAACTGTTTTTGAGCTTAATCTTCCACAATTCAGAATGCTGACTGTAAAGAAATAATTGAGGGAATTAGTTTAAGGGCTGAACTACTCATGCTTGGCTGGTCTCTGGCCAGCTAACAATGCCGGTACAAAGAGCTGCAGTGTAGTTTTCACCCTGCTTAGAAGGGACTTCAGTTGGGACTTAAACTGTGGAAAGTGTTCCATGGTGGGGAAGAAGGAGACTTTCTCAAAGAGCTCTGGAAGATGAATGTATTAGAGATTCCTAGCTCTACTAGCCATTATTCTAATAAAGCCTTTAGCTCACAAGAATGATGATGCAAGTCAGCAGGATCTTGCAAAGTGTTGTGGTTTTATGGTCCTCTCCATTAAAACTTCCATGGAAATACAGGTTCACATATATAAAAGTGGATTCCTCTTTCAGGAGACTCATTGTATCTGTAAGGCCAAACATAGCAGCTCTCAGAATATCAGATGTCACCCATACCCTTTTGCCTTCAATGAAAGAATAAATTTGTTTTCAAAGAGTCTCTTCTCCCACCTGCACTGTTGTGCACAAAGGGACTTGGTTATCTGGGAGGTTTGGGTTTGTGCAGCAAGGGCAGGAACAATGTCCTTTTAGTCCTAAAACCTGATAGATTTTGGAATATGGTGATGGGAACGTACCAGCATGGCTTCTCATGAACTGTATTTAACAGAACTGTAGTTGGATTCTCATGTTTTTTCTTCTTTTTGTTTTTATGTGAAGAACCCAGAGCCTAAGGACCAGATCTCAAAAATGATTAAAATTTTAAGTGGGGAAATGGCCATTGAGTTACATCTGCAGTTTTTAATACGAAACAACAATACAGACCTCATGATCCTCAAAAACACAAAGGTAAGAGGCTTTGTTAAATAGGGTCGTCTCGGATTATCTGATTAATTTTGTGTTTCTTTTGATCATGTTGCTGTTATTTTATAACATCATCTTACATTTTAGCATGGCCTCCCTAGGTCTTGAGGATACAAATCTGTGTTTTGGTCATGATAAATTAACATTTAAAAATTGAACCTGTGAGGCTGAAAAAGAGCTGATTGCACCCAAAGAAGGCCATATAATAAGATTGCATCAACTTAGAGCTACTATGACCTAATGACAAGCTGCTTATTAGCATGTTGGTAGTGGGTTTTTGTTTGGGTGTTTGTTTGTTTTTTTCTGCAGATTGGTTATAGAAACTGATCTTTTTATCCCCGTTTTTTTTGGTGGGTTTGCTTTCCATGTCGTCAGTAAGATGGATGAACTCACCCTCCAGCTCCACGATTGATCCAGTGCAAATGCTGCTGGTTGGGGAGGGAGTCAGCCAGGACTGGAGGTTACAGCGTGTTGGTATCTTGGCTGAGGTTTTATGTGAGACCACACCTTCATCTTACCTGAAGAAATCCTGACATGTGCTCAGAGATTATGTCCACATTGAAGACAAAACCGATAGGGAGTACTAGTGAATTGAGTAACTGGTTTTGTTTTGAGTGGGCAAATGAGAACTTATAGGTAAATTAGACTCTCTTAACCTAAATGATTATTAGAAATCATAGGAGAAGTGTTTTATATGTGGAATGAGGTGCACATCATCAGCCAAAACGGTAGGAGATACTTGTCAGTGCATTCTTCTATTTCAGGAAGCACTTCAAATTTATTGGAAATTTTTTTCCATCTGCTGGTTGAGTGCTTGGGAGTAATCCTGCAGAGTATTCCAGGGATGGCTTGAAAACATCAGCAGCACATGCTATGCAGTGCTCAGTTCTGGGGACCAGAAGGGGGATTCTCCAGTTAAGCTGCAATTGAAGTAATCACATGTCTGACAGAAACTCGTAGAAAGGATTGGTTTGCACTGGAAAGATGGGTTGAGGAAATATTAAATGTATTAACAGCCTATTAACATTGATTAAAGAGAAACTGCTGGTTAAATTGAGCGTAATTACAATCCATTTTTCTAGTGTACTGGCAAGCATGTTAAGTGACCTTGGCCATATCTTTTGCTGACTGGTGATACCGATTGTTTTTGTTCTTTCAGGATGCAGTGCGGAATTCCGTCTGTCATACAGCAACGGTTATAGCAAACTCCTTTATGCATTGTGGTACAACCAGCGACCAGTTCCTCAGGTAAATCTGTGGCAAGGAAGCTCCAATGTCATTTAGAGGTGTTTGAACAACATTGTTATCCTGCGTAGCTTGATGCTTCTAAAAGGGTGGCTGCAGAGCTCTGAGCTTAGAGAAGAATAAACAAAAGATCTGAAAACTGATGTGGAGGCAGAGGGAAGAAGCTGGAGTTGTTTCCTTTTTCTCTGTCTTCACAAATTTGCTTTATTTGAATGCTAACCATGTGAGCAGTTTGGAGGATGGGAGATCTGGAATTTCTCTTCTCCTTGTTTACTAGTTGGAGAATTTCTGAGATGATGATGTATCATTTTTGGTAGAGATTGACAGCACTAAGTGACTCTTGGAAGGGAAATGTGAGGACTGACCTTACCAGGGCCTTGAGGAAAGCTCCAGAAGCTCTGCTCAAGTTTCTTCCAGAGAGTTGATGGGCTACATATTGAGCAGTTGTTCTCCACCTTTCACTGAGATTGCCAGTATCTAGGAGCTTGACTACTACCAGCCAAAAATAAGGGCTGATGAAGGGGAGAGGGCTACAGCGTGGAAGTACAGTTAACCTTCTTGCCTTCTGGAGCTACTTTCTGGTTTGAAAGCAGTCTTCTGTGCTGTGAAACCTTACTTGCAGGGTGAGGAATGGGCTGTATGAAAAACTTTGTATAACCTTTCTCTTTTTGTCTTCCAGAGACAATTTGGAGTGGCTGGCCAGGGCCACTAACTGGGCTAAGTTTACTGCTACCGCCAGCTTGGGTGTTATACACAAGGTACCGTTGCATTCATGTTCCTTTATTCAATATGCGTTTGACCTGTGAACACTGCAGACATTTAAAGCAGGGATTCTGAGTGATGCCTGCACCCCAGCTTTCCTAGTCTTTTGGTCTGTTGTGAGGCAGCTGTGACATAGTTTGTCTTTGCACTAAAGAAAAGCTGTGCTTTATCAAGTCCATCTCACCTGATATCTGATCTGGTTTACGGCATGTTTTGCTGATCATCAAAAAGGTGGTAGGATAACATAGCTCAAGGAGAAAGTCTTCTTCCTAGTTGTTCTTTTCCTTTGTGAGTTGAACACAGTCGACAGTTTGTAGCTATTAACGTTGCAGGTGTATATTTCTCAAGTGTATTTCCTGTCTTTGGGACAGTACCAAAGTCCTTACTCTAGTTTCGGTAAGTACCAAAGTCCTTACTCTAGTTAGAATCATAGAATTCATAGAATCATAGAATGGTTTGGGTTGGAAGGGACCTTAAAGATCAACCTAGTTCCAACCCCCCTGCCATGGGCAGAGAAATCCTCCACTACACCAGATTGCCCAAAGCCTCATCCAGCCTGGCCTTGAACACTTCCAGGGATGAGGCATCCACAACTTCTCTGGGCAACTTGTTCCAGTGCCTCACCACCCTCAATGTAAAAAATTTCTTCCTTATATCTAATCGAAATCTCCCCTCTTTCAGTTTGAATCCATTGCCCCTTGTCCTATCACTACACGCCCTTGTAAAAAGTCCCTCTCCAGCTTTCCTGTAGTTAGTTTCAATAAGTTTGAACGGTGACCTAAGTAGCGGTCTTTTTCTTCAAACTCATTCACGGAAAGGGTGTATTTAAACCTGTTTTGAAACAGCAAGAAATCTTTGTAATTGTGTTGTGTGTCTCAGCCCCCCTTGAAATGCTCTAGAGAATAAATTGATGTTGCTTCTGGCCAAATTTGTCCTGACTTAGATCAGTGACCAAGGGATTGACATGTACTCGTGTGCTGGGGTTAATAAAACCCCAGTAAAGAAGGATTCTTGGCTGGTTCTTGTGGAGAAAGTAATGGCTATAACATGTTTGATCCTGACTTGTTTAACTGTTATTGCAAAATGTTTGCATCCACCGTGTCTTCACCTTTCACTTCCCATTGTCTTCCTTTCCTGCTGGACACGGTACATACAGGGTCATGAGAAAGAAGCATTACAGCTAATGGCAACGTACTTACCCAAGGACACCTCTCCAGGGTCAGCCTACCAGGAAGGTGGAGGTCTCTATGCCTTGGGTCTCATTCATGCTAACCACGGTGGGGACATCATTGACTATTTGCTGAACCAGCTGAAGAATGCCAGTAATGATGTATGTACTGAGTTCAGTAATGAAGCTTTGTTTTGTTGGGAATATCCAGAAGGATGCTAGCTGGTTTAGAAGTGGGGGTTAGAGGTAACTAGCACTGACAGTGGTGTGATCCTTACACTTCCTGTAGGCCTTAAATATAAAGTTTGATTTTAACGACCTATTGCTCAAGGTTTGGGTAACATTTTTGGGAAATTCCTATGTATTTGACAGTGAACCTAGTTTCATTTTTTCCTACTGCTTATATATCTACTTTGTTTTGCTAGTGGACCTGCAGTATTCAGGCAGCATTATTGCTTACAGTGTCGCTGTCAAAGGAATAAGCCACAAAATGCTTCTGCTGCCCTGTGGGCTTAATGTGTCTTATACAAAAAGAAGCGTTTTACTTCACCACTTGCTGTTTGTAGACCTCTACAAAAAGTGTCGTTTTAAGTTTGGAATAGATGAGTATTTTTCCAGCACGTTCCCTTCTTTCGGTAATTTCAGACTACATCTTTAAAAATTCTGTGAATGGATCTCACTCGTATGAAATGTACTGCCTTTTCTGTATCTGTTGTTAGAACAAAAGGGGATGTAGGCTGTTTAAGTGGCTACTGATTTACTTTTCCATTTAAAAGCTATTACTAGGCAGCAATTTTTACGCATGCTGCAGATTATGTTATTGCATAAATCACTCAGTGGGGAAAAAGACCTTAAAGATACTAAAAAGTCTCTTACGCTGTGTGAAAAGCTTCTGGTACTCATTGTTTATGGGCTTTTGAACGGCTGGTTTTATTCTAGCTTCTGCCTCTTTCATCAAAGTTATGTCTGAGAATGTAAAAGTGATATTTCTAACAGGTCAGGAGATAATTTTGGGTGGTTTGGGGCTAAAAGTTTGCAGCTTTATATTGATGGAAAGATGTCTATTTCAGCTGAAGCTATATTGTTTCCTGACTTATGATGACTAAACTTGCATATGCTTCTCCAGATTGTCCGACATGGTGGCAGCCTGGGTTTGGGTCTGGCTGCCATGGGGACAGCACGTCAAGATGTGTATGATTTGCTGAAAACAAATCTATACCAGGATGATGCAGTGACAGGTAAATGTTCTGCTTTCAAAGCAAATAATCATCTGAGGCCTTATCAGACATCTGTGGGTTTTTTGATTATTTTTTTCTTTTTTTTTCCCCCCAGGTTTTCTCTTAGCAGCATAGATTGCTTCTAGGTTGCCTTATGTGTTTTATTTACCAGCCTTTTCCTGATGAGCACAGTTCTTCAGTTAGGTGGCAGTAATGTTCAGAGGTCCTGTCAAGACAGGTCTGTTGCACTATGCCAAATATTGATATAGACATGCTAGGTCTTTAAACAGTCCCTTATTTTGCTCTATTCTTGCCTTTGTCATACACATTGTATTTACTGCGGTTGATCTCCAGAGCCATGTGCCCTTTTTGGCAGAGAGGCAGGCTTGGAGAAGCTTGTGGCGGCTACTTCTGCCTTGGCAAGGATTCACAGGAAAATTATGTCAGCAGCTCTTGGCCCAATAAAGAGAGAATTGAACTTGATAGGGAAGAGCACTAAGTTGTGGCTGGTAGGTTATCATTACAAGCACACTTGGCTGTGAATAATGGGATTGCTGGGCACAATGGTGTCCAGAAGTGATCTGTTGCCCTACATCTTGTGTGATTCTCTAGATACAACATTTACTGCTTTTGGGAGCAGAGTTTGCTTGATTTGTTGGGTTTTTTTTTTTCTTTGCTGTGCAGGTGAGGCAGCTGGTCTGGCACTGGGATTGGTTATGCTGGGATCTAAAAATGCTCAGGCTATTGAGGACATGGTTGGCTATGCACAGGAAACCCAGCATGAAAAGATTTTGCGAGGCCTTGCAGTTGGAATTGCTCTGGTCATGTATGGGAGGATGGAGGAGGCAGATGCTCTCATTGAGAGTCTCTGCAGAGATAAGGTAAGTTTAGCTGTGACTTAATCCCTGGCCCTTTTTTTGTACGAGTGACCTTCCTGTCCTTTTATGAAATCTCCAATTACAGTGAGTTGGCTGTATTGAACCAGGCAAGTTTTACGTGGGTCTGAAGTAGGGCGGTTTCACAGGTTGCTTCACCGATCAAAAATACAAGAACAACAGTGCTTAGTCATGTATTTCTTTAGCCTCATACTCAGTCCCTGTAGTCCTGTGAGCAGCAACAAGGAGCAGAACAGGGTGTAATGGTTAAAATCAGATGAGGCTTGCTGTAGGTTGGTCACTCTCCAGGATCTAGTAGTGGTTAACAGCAGATAATGAATAAGCAGCAGAATAACACATCTGCCAGATACTGTCTTTGGCAGCCTGTGACATAGCAACTTTCTGCCCCCTTGAAGTTGGTAATGATGACCCTGCTTTGGTGATTGTCCTGTTACTCATCTTCGATAAACAGTTAATCACCGAGATGTTTGCAGATTCCAAGCCCAAGAGTGGAACAGATTTAGAGTCAGAATTACTGAGTCCCTATTTGGATGGATGTTAAATATTGATGCTTTCTCTTCCAGGATCCAATTCTCCGTCGTTCTGGCATGTACACTGTTGCTATGGCATACTGTGGCTCAGGGAACAACAAGGCTATCAGACGCCTGCTGCATGTGGCTGTAAGTAGGAGCTCATAGCAAGAAATTTGTGAGGAGAGAGTACGCACAGCGCTTTGACAGGCTCTGTGTCTACAGTGTTAATGTTCAAATCAGAAATCGTGAAGTGATGAAAGCTTTCCTTAATACTTTGAGTAGAAGCAACAGGGTCTTCTGACATTGGGATAAGTAGACTTTCAGCAAGAGAATATTCAACCTGGTATCACAAAAAAGGAACCTACTGAAAAATAAAACATGATCCTAAAGTAGTTGGTAACAGATTTGCAGTGAATAGTCTGTGTAATGATAGACTGGGGAAAAAAGAACTTAAGCTGTCAAAGATGAGATCTGCCTGCCCTTTGCTAGGCTTGCAGTGACAGTGGATGAACAAGAGTGAGGCTGTTTTCAGCTAAGGCTGAACATGATTGTTAACTTTCTTTCTCTGTAACCCTGTCTTCTTGATTAGCTTGTGTGCTTGACACCTGGCCTGAAATGTTGCAGAGTCCTCAAGTGTTTTATTTATTTTCTGAATTTCCTGTTTTCCCTTTTGTAGGTGAGTGATGTCAATGATGACGTGAGGCGGGCAGCTGTTGAGTCACTTGGTTTTATTCTGTTCAGGTACAGTGTCTTCCTCGGTCACTTCCACAGCCTTCAATTTGATGTGTGTTAGATTTTCAGGAAATGTGTGTGCTATTGCTTTCTCAAAAGGACTCAATTGCTAACTGAGTGGAGGTCCAATAGTCAAAAAAATTGAGAGAGAATAAAACTTGATTCAGAATTAGAAGCCTTCCTTAATGCTCATCAGATGCTTAATGAGCCTTTCTGTAGGTTTCCGGACTTAGAGCTTAATTGTCTGAATAGAGTTAGATGAATTTGATGAATAGAATGAAAAATTAATATTTACAGGATTGAGAGTTAATGAAAAATTAAATATACAGTGCTTGTTCCAGGCCTCTTAAAGGCAGCAGTACTTAGACAAATAATGTCTGCCTAATTGCTATCTAAAACATTCCTGGAGGTTGTTACTTCAGTAAAAATAACGTGAAGAAGGATGTCAAAATTTCATCTGTCTTGTTTTTTAAGTATCCACTGTTAAACCTTGACAGGTTACTGGGCTTATGTTGTGGTAATGTAAGCCCATCACAAAATAGTCATGATGTTTGCTTTGATTCTTTAAAGTGAAATCTGTTCCTGAACTGGTGCTTTGTAGTGCCCTGTAGTGTTCTGTAGTTCCCTAGGTAAGAGGTGTTTGGGGTTTCTTTTGTTAGATTGGGGACTTGGAGGGCTCCCCAAGGACTAAACCTTCCTCTGTTAACACAGTAATCTGTGTAGTCTGAGCACTGAGCCCAGCTGCAGCCTTTGAGTGTATTTGAGAGGAGGTAGTGTGTAATTTAAAACCCTTTATTTTTAAACCTTAATTTTTAAATTCCAGGACTGTAATTTAAAAACCTTTGTTCGCATCTTCTTTGGGTTAGTGGCAGTCTGTAAATTCATTCTAAGAAGCAGGATAAGAGGTGCTTAAAGCTGATATTAAAAGACTGGGTTACTGATATGACCAGTCAGTTTGTCATTAACTAAGTTGTTCCTCATGTAGAAAACACTCTGCTCCATTCTGTTTTATCTGAAGCGTGTTCTGTCTGCAATTAAATGTAGTTTACAAACAGAACGAATTCTCCTGGTGGGCAGCAGGTGTCTCCCAAGAGCTTTCATGAGCACGGATTATTCTTTGCTTCATAGCGATCTGTGTCTCTCCTGAAGCCAAAGGGTCTGTTTAACTGGCAGCTGTGTACAGAAGGAAAATTCCACGCAGACCTTCCATAGTTTCAGGCATCTTTTTTACAAACAGGTTGTGTCAAAGCACTTCTTATCTCTGGTTTCAGTGTAATTTTTCTTTTCCACAAATGCAAAACATAATTGGACATTGATGGCTCCTACTGAAATGAGAAGCTTTCAAGACTCTGAGCTAAACCATTTACCATGTGCTGGCATCTTGTGGGAGCAAGATAGTCCTGGGCCTGTTGTCTGCCTATCCAACAATGAGGAAATGAATGACGTAATGTTTGACTCTTTCACCTGCTGTGCAGAGGTTCAGATCTTATCCTGCCTCTTCCCTTCCCTTTCTGGAGGGGTACAGTCCAAAACCTGCTTGCACAATAGGGAGGAATGTTTCCTTGTAAATTCTAGTGTCCACTTTGCTTGGTAGGAAAGGACTAAGACTGTTTAGCTGATTATTGTTACTGGCTTCTGGGGGCGAAAGGCTTGTATTAGACTGTTGTATTTGTTAACCCTTTTCACTTGATAACTTTTGCAAAATACACGATCCGGTTGTTTGCTTTAGGACACAGTTCTGCAGGGAGCCGTTGGTTTACCTAGCCTGGACGTCTGCATTCACATGCAGTGATGGAAGGAGCTTTCTACTTAGAGGGCCCCACAGATTACCCCCTGCATTACTCTCTCTAATTGTAAACCAAAAGCTGTGTTTCAATTCCTGGAAATAATTATTGTCCATCAGTGTAGGAATCTAGAAGCTGGTTTTACGTTTGCTTTTCCTGTTCACTGAAACTGCTAGTCAGCACCAATTGTGTGCTCTGGCCCATATCAGCACCAGAGGCATGCAGAGACATAAAGAGTAAGTGCGCTGTGAGTTTGTCAGATTTCCTGACTAAAATGCCATCTCTTTCTAAGGATTGTTGTTTATTGAGGTCTAACTGCGTTTACTTGTCTTTTGAATGAAGAGTTTTGTGATGGGAGGTGAGCAGGTCTGTAACACAGTGGGCTATGCCCCAGAAATTAATCTCATTTTAGGTGAAGTAACATGACTGTAGCTCCTGTGAGAAGAGGTCTCATTGAATTCTTTATATGTGGTTCCAGAAAGGGAACTGTGAAGTCAGAATTGAAATAAGAGGATACATTTGTTTAATGTGGTCTAAATTTTTCTCAGGGAATTCTTTCCACTACTGTAGAGTTGAGCATGCTGGAGGTGTAAGTTTGTCTGCTGCGCTGTACTACAGCAGCAGGAGTATGCACAGACTTATTCTTCTGTCTGTTCATCTTATAGGAATAATAAAATCCATGTAAGGATGGATGTTACACAGTCAGAGGGTGGTAATTTCCATAAAAGCACCATTGGTGAGCATAGTATAGAGTTATAGAATCATTTAGGTTAGAAAAGACCTCTTTAAGATCATTAAGTCCAACCATTAACCTAGCACTGCCAAGTCCACCACTAAACCATGTCCCTAAGCACCACATCTACACATCTTTCAACATGGCAGAGCTCCTGGCAGAGCTAGAGCCCACAAATTCACTTTGTGTTGTAAATACCTAGTTAGTTTTCTCCTTTTGTTACAGCTATCTGCAAATAAATGTTCTTCCTCTGGGATTTGAACTAAAAGTGTCAGAAACTCACAAAGCCAGCCATTTTTAGGTAATACATTTGCATTGCAGAACATTCTGTAAGGCTTTTTCCTCGTTTACCTCTGTGAGTCTTCCCTGCTAGCACATACATGCAACCCTGTGTACATTCAAGAGCACAGCTTGGCCTTTATGACTAGCAGCACAGTAACAGAGTAAAATATGATAGAACATAATATAATAAAACATGATATTTAATTTTTAAACCAAAAAAGTTTCACGCTAACTTAAAGATTTCTTTTTTTTACACACAGACTTTTTTTAGATTATTTTTGCACTTTTTAATTACTGGAAAAGTGTACAAAAGAATGTGTGTGGCTACTTCATTGTTCAAAATTAATGAATTGAGGTTTAGGTAGGATGTTCTAGTCTAGATCATTAAGTTTTGCCTAAGAATTGCAAGATTACATTTTCTAGTGTGTTATGAAAGATATCGAATTACCCAGTTACACCATTCAATACTTTCCTTAGCATATAATTCCTTAAGATAATTTCTGTATTCCTTAACGTATCAAGTGACAACAGTCTGTAGTTATGGCTCTCTTTAAGTTAGTATCAGTTGGGTTTTTTTGTAACTGCAATTATCTTTTATCTTCTCAGATAACTTAAAAAATGTTAAAATGCGCTTTCAGCAACGTTCAGGAGTTTTCTTCCTATGTTCTTTTCCAAAGTCGAATGTGTTGCCTGGAGCAAAAGTGAAAGTTGCTGAAACTCTTGCTTCTGCAACAGGATGACTAGCTGTGTTTGCTCAGCAAGTCCTGTGTTACTTTGAGAGTAATCCACGTAAGGAGCGCTTGATGGACCCTGCATTGCTCAAGATGTCACTATGGTGCGAGAGTTGTGCAGGGATTAGAGGAGCAGGCGTTAATGCTGCCGTAGCCGTTACACACTTGGATGTTGGATGCATGCTTGCCTGGCTGTGTGAATATCCGCAGGCAAGTTGCTCTAGGGAGCAAAGCAGCAGCAATCATACTGCTTGAGCTGCAGAATGTGTTGTGGGGTCCTGTTTGTATAGCACAGAACTAACTTCCTTGTTCTGTGCTTGGAGTCCCTAAAGCTTTCCGGGAGCCATGTATGTAGAGTTGAAGCTTGTTGACCAGCAGTGTTGCTGCTGTTAATTCTGGTTTTGCTGACTGTTTAGAAGCATCCACGGGTCTGAGGCTGGGGATCAAAAGCACAGCTTGCTGGCTATAGGACTTGGGATGTTTTTTTTCCCTCTTGGCTTAGTGCCTTACAAAAATTAGGCATTAGTTATGTATTTTGCAACTGATCATTTTCGTGCCACTATATTAAATTATCGGAAAATGCAGTGGTGCAAGAGAATTGTTTCAAAAACTATCTCCTCCTTTCTTCCTCCTCACAACTAGCAAGACAGTCAACATAGTATGACATAAAAACCTGGGACCTTTTACATCTTCTTTCTTTTTAAAAGTGGCTACCTCTTACAAGAGATTCTTCTAAGTAAAATGGTACAGAGACCTGAAAAAGCTTGAGATGTTTGGAGATTGCAGTATGGATGCAGGGGATGCAGGGCTGTACAAGAAGCTGGATTGTGAAATAGCAAGAGATGTGTTGACTTGGCTACTCTAATGTGTCTGTTCTCCCAGTCCTGATACTTTTGCTAGTGATCACAGACAGCAAACTTACCTTATTGTTGATGTTTACATATCAGTCCTTCTTTCTACTAAAGTGGTTTATAAAATATTTATCATGACTGTTGGAAAACAGCATTTAAGGTGCTTGTGATTTCTGGTCAACCTTTTTCTTTTTTAAGACTATTACATTGAGGTGGAAAACATGATAAATTTAAAGTGTTTTACTTTTTAAAAATGGAAAGAGTTATTTTTATCTTAATTTTTACTGCTTTAGATTATGCATTGATCTTTGTTTATATTGCAGAGTGAGATGTGATTGGTTTATGTAATCAGCTTTATTTTTATATTGTTATATATTAGAGCAATGCTGCAGTGTATCTAAACATTTCTGTTTATATACAAAATGAGGAGGTAGAAGTTTTATGGATATAACAAATCTAGTTAGGGAGAAGGCTTCAATGTGGGATGCAGCAGTGCTTCAAATCATGAACTAAGTAGGTCTGATGCTCTCATAGGAGTTGTTAAGTCCAGGGGAGTAAGAGCTGTGGGGAAGTAGGATGCTGCTTCTGGCTTGGTGCAATATTGTTGGGAAAAGACTAAGGGCAGGAG